TATAATTCTCTACATTCACCATGATATGATCAATCAAATTTAAATAAACTTAAAATTCTGTTACCTACAATAGTAACACAAAATTTTACTCCACCTCCACAATCTTGTCTTCTAAGTTGTGTTGGTTGACTATTTCTATAAAAGTCCAACCTCTAGCAATTCTCCCATCTTTATTGATTGGACGACTTTGATGACAGAAAAATATTACACACACACACAAATACATAAAAACATACATACATATATATATATATATATATATATATATATATATATATATATATAAAAGTGGACAGTGAAGTGAATACCCAGAGGTGGCACTCTGTTTTATGCTAAACGTAATCATCAGGACTGATGATTGTGTTTAGCATGAAACAGTGTCAGCACTGGGTGTTGACTCTAATGTCCACTTTTATATTTACATACGTTCTATCCCTGATATTGAGCACTTTAACCCATAAATATAGCATATCTTAAAACTATATTTTATCTCACACACACACATAAATATATATATATATATATATATATATATATATATATATAATAAAAAAAGAAAGAACAGTTAGATATAAAATCCGTGTTCTTATAGATATTTTAATTTTTACAAAATAGTGCTCAATGTAAATGAAAAATTCGCTTGAAGATGAAATGGAACTAATGCTTTTAATTTAATTGCAAAATTAAATTCGGGGTTTTTAGCTTCTATTTTTGAAACATGGTTGGAACTGTGTAGCGAAAAAAAACATATTTTAAATCAATTAATTTATAATATATATATATATATATATATATATATAGGGAAATATATGTTAAAGTAACAAGTATAATATTTTGGAAGCAAAAAGAAGAATATAAGACTATTAAAAATATACCTTAAAAAATTTCAGAAGAAATTATAAAAGGGATGACAAATTATTAAAAATTTACAACAAAAATTAGCATCTTCTGCAAGACAAGAGAAAAAGGTAAAAAAATTATTAGTCGCTTTTTTTTTCAATTGGAATCACTCTAGCAAGACAGTAATGCCACCAAAACACAAAGGGTTGCAGAGTGTGGAAGAATTAGGAACAGAAACAATAATGATAAGCAGAATAAGAAGAGAGTAATCAAGTGCACAGTAGATAGCAATTGATATTGTATTTACATTTTTGAAGATTAAAGTTGGCTAGAAAGCATGGAGCCTGAAGAGACAAGTGTGAGCAAAGAAACTGTTAGCATAGAATTTACAGCTACGTCTAGCGAACACAACTGTACATTGATGAGATCTCGACACTAGTCTAGTGCTGCACTTAAATTCAAAAAATTTAGGTACGAAGAGCTCTTTTGAACAATTACCATGAAAATATTTATAGAAAAGCCATAGATAGGCAACCTTATGGCATTGAGAAAGTGACTAAGAGCTTAGCTGCTAGATCAGGCCCAATGATATTACAGATTCTTCTTTGGATCTTATCAAGGAGCTCATGATAAATAGCAAGGGTGTCAGACCATTTGTGGCTGAAATATTCCAAGAATGAGTGAATCAGTTAAAAATAACTCTTGGAAGCCAAAAGTAAAAAGAAGATATTATGAAAGAAATTTTATAGGCACAAAAACTTTATAAAAAAACATAACTGGTTTCTTTGTATTTAAAAGTTTCCTTCAGAAAGATACAAACTTTTGACTTGTTAGAACCAAACAATTGTAGATATATTTTCTTGATGTTTTCCATAAATTATGTTGGTTGATTTTGTTTAGTTGCATATCATATATAACCACTATCGGTTATTTTATGTCAAAATCTAAATAATCTGAACACAATTTTATGGCTTCAACTAAATATATTTAAACACAATTATATGCCTATAAGTACAGATAAAATGTATTGTAGGTCATTTTGCTTTAAAAATATATTGTTGATAATTTTACTATATGTATTGTTGGTCTTTTTTTTATTTAAAAATGTATCACTGGTATTTTCACTATCAAAATATATTTTTGTACTTTTGTAGTGTTTTTGTTTAGCGGGGTTCACTATTTGCCCATAGCTGGGATCCTAACAGGTGCTACCACCCTGTGTCAGGCTGGATTTGGGAATGACAGCAATTAAGTGGTGGTTCCATGCTCCTCAAAACTTCCAATCTCCCAGTGAGAGTCCTTGCTGCTGGATGTAGTTTATCATCATACCCAGGACTATTAATTTTGTAGACCATGTGATCTGTGTACAAGCATATATACTTTATTTTGTGGCATTTGATAGCTGACTGTAATAAAGAACCAGTTCATATTTCCTCTTCAGAACAGTGAAAGACTTGATTATATTTTACTTTGCAGGCAACCAGAAAATTCACTTGCTATCAGTCCTGCATAGAGGAAACATGTTGAAAATGTTTTCTTGAGTTTTCCCAATGATTAGCAATATTCTCAACATCAAATGTCAAAGGGTCATTGGTGAAATTTTGAGAGAATTAAAAGGTAAACAGCAAATTTTCAAAAACATCTTGCATTCACTTAAAACTAGGTTTGAGCACTTTGGTTTACTGTAATGGTTAGCAAGCTTGTCTTACTAGATCAATTATGACTGAGTAGTGAGTTTTATCCTCACTAGGTGCTCCATACTTTCAGCCTTGTGCCACATCTAAGCTATGCTTAGAAAACCACTAAGAGCACTTTGGAATGGTTTAATGTTTAGCAAGCTTGTCTCAGTAAATTAATTGACTGAGTGAGTTCAATTTCACTGGGTACTCCATGTTTTTTCGGTTTACTTAATTGCCATTTAAAACTAGGTTTGACTTTGTGACGTATTCTGGCTGGAAATGAATTAAAAATAACTAGTAGTACATTTGTTGACAAAAATATGCCAGTTGACATAATTTTTATACTAAATTTAAAGGCTTTTTCTATTATTTTGATATGTTACTTCTTCAATCTTAGACTGTTAGAATATTGGTAAACTTTCATGAGGTTTAAAAAAGGAATTTAGTTTAATATGAAACTTGCTTTATCTGTTAATCTGCATTTGAAAATTTGCAAAACAAAAACTAGTGGTCTTTATTTCTAGGCTTACATTATCCAATAAAATTTCCAGAAATATCACAGTTTTTTTTTGTTTTCTTTCACTTTTATCTTTTTCTTTTAATCTTTTCACCCCAAGTAAGGTAGAAATACCACTGGTATACAGGGGATTACAGTGAAAGTGAGAGAAAAGACTAAGTATAGGGAGGATTGATGAAAAGACAAAAGATGAATAGGATTCAAGAAGACAGAAGATGGTGAATAATGTTAAATTTAAATTTTTAAAGATTGTAGTTATCAGGGCTGCAAGCAAATGGAAGGGAGTTCCACAGGTGGGAAATGTGAGAAAAATGTTGGAGTAGAAGTGGTAGTATCTTTAAGAGTATTAGAAGGTAAAAAGCCAATGTTCAAAAACCTTTTACATTCATTTAAAAATAGGTTGGATCTTGCAAAGTATTCTGGTTGGAAAGGAATTGAAAAATACTGATAATTCATGGGTTGCAAAAAATACCAGTTTTAATAGGAGACATTTATGATAAAATTAAAGGCCATTTTGGACTCTATTACTTCTTCAAACTTAGAGCTTTGCATTGTGTAAATTTTCATGAGTTCCAAGTTTAAAAAAGGAGATTTAGTACAAGATGAATCTTGCTTTGTCTGTTAACCTGCATTCGAAAAAAAAAAAAAAATAACTAACAATCTTTATTTCTAGACAAGACATTTTCAGAAACAACAGTTTTTTTATTTTTTATGTTTTATCTCTAGTTTTTAAATTATTTTTATTGCTTGTTTTTGTTAGAAACAAGTATGTATCTTAATTCCTAGCAACATCTCAGTCACTTGTTTATTCACTGATAATTTGTTCACCACTGGTCCAATCATTGTCTTCTTGCCCTGAGGACTGAATTTGCTTAAAACCTTAACAAAAGATCAGTTCACTTCAGAAGCCAACATCAACAGGGAATCAAATCTGATCATATATTAGGAAATAGACAAGTGGTTTTTCTTTTAACTGACAAAAAGACCCAATTACTCTCCTCTGGATTCACAGCCCAGCTCTTCATCAGTTTGCTCCTTGTTTCTTTGTATAAGGACATCTCTAGGCAACCACAAATCACGGACAATACCATGCCAATCGAACTTCTACTTCCACTTGTCTTAATTGTCTAATTTCTTATTGCCATCTTCTTTATCATTTCCATTCCTTCTTATCTCTTCTTTTAATGTAATTTCTATACTTAGCTTTTTTCTTCATTGTTGATTTTTGTCCTTTTCTTTGTTTAAAGTTTACCCTCTTAGTTTTTGCTTTTAGTCTTTGTTGCTTGTTATCCTTTTGTTATTCTTTTTTTTCTGTATACCACATCTTAATATCTTTCTTTTAATTCACTCTTTTTGTCTTTTTCTTCTTCTTTTTTACCTCTTTCTTTTAATAGGATTTTTCTTTCTTAGCATTCCTTCCTTTACTTTAAAATAGTATTTTCTTTTACCTCTCTCCTTCATTTCTTCTTTCCATTTGTTTTCCTTACTTTTGTTTCTTTTTCTCTTTCTTTCCTCTTTCTTTTTCCTTTCATTTCTATCTTAATTTTTTTTACTGTTTCTTTTACATCTTTCCTCCATCTCAGTTATAGATTCTTCATTTTTTAAAATTTTTCTTTCTCTCCTTCATTTCTTCAGTTACCTTTTTCTTCTATTTCTTATCTCCTATCTTCCTCTCTTCACCCCCTTTACTATCTCTTCATCTCTTTCTTATTCTATTCATCCCCTTTATATCTTCCTCTCATTTCATACAGTCTATTCTTTGTTCTTTTTTTTTCCTTCTTCCTTAACCTCTACATTGACACTTTTCTTCTTTTATTAAGACAATTCTACTTATTTATTTATTTATTTATTTATTTATTTATATATTTCTTTCTTTCTTTCTTTCTTCTTGGTTCTTTCTTCATTTTGTCTCCACTGATAATGTTTTCTTATTCCTTCTCCATCTTTTTCTACACCATCTCTTCATGCTTCTACTCATTTCTTTTCTTCTTTTCACCTTCTATTTTTCTTCATCTCTTCTGTCTCTTTACACTTCTTCCTCTTTCTCTTTAACATGTATTTTTTCTTCCTCTCTTTGTCCCATTCATCATTATTCCATCTCCAATCCTTTTTATCTTACTCTCTTCATCCCCATCTGTTTCTGCATACTTTCCTCCTCTTCATCATTCTCTTCATCTCACATCACTTCTACCTGTTTTGCATCTGTTTATCTGCCTCTCCTTCATTTCTTCACACTTTCCTTTTCCTCTTCTATTTCTTATCTTCCTCTATTCATCCTCTTCATTCCAACTTTCTTCTCTTCATTTCTTTCTTATCTTCATCTGCTATATATTTCCCCCCCTACCTGCTCTTCCTCCTTTTCATCTATCTTCTCCCCTTTATCCCTTCCTTTATATCTTACCTCTTCTCTATCTATTCACCTCAATTTTCTCCTATTCTTCTCTTTCTTATTTTCTATCTTCCTCTCTTCTTCCAATTCTCTATCCCTTCTTTAATTTTATCCTGTTTATATTTTTCTTATTTTCCTCTCCCCATCCCTTCTATCTATTCCTCCTACATCTCCCCTTCCTACTCTTCATCTATCTTTTTCTCTTTATCTTTTACTTACCTCTCTTTTCCTCCACCCCATCTTGTATGTTTTATCTTCCTCTTCATCTACATCATTCTCACCCCATACACACTTCCTGTTTTTTCCTACTTTTTCAAAGATTCATCAGTATTTCAACCTTGCACTGCCTCTTGCCCTCTCTTTTGTTATTTCTCACAAAACAGATTACTTTTTCTCGAGTGCTACTTACAAATCCTGGTGCCGCATTCAAATCAATGCAATTAGACTGATTAATGATCCCTTGGCACAACACATCACACTCTCGCATCCCATACCTAATTCAATACACATTAACAGCGTACAACTATTTAACCAGTTAACTAGCCACCCAGATGATAATGTACCTTACACATGCAAAATGTCTTTTTTAAAGTGCCTTTCTCATCACACAATCAATATTAATGTACAATTTTATGCACAATATTTTTATTAGAAGAATATTATCTTACTCACATAAGATGACCAGCGTACCAGGCTATGTGATAAATCATTATAAAATTATTACTGCCACTTATTTGGTATGATGATAGCTATGGTCATCTGCAACATGGAATTTTCAATATCTAACCTGAGTTTAATACAGTTTAATTCTTCTTGGTTTGTATTGTGATGTGGGGTCTGGCAAGACAAGACACTTAACTCGACCGAGTCAGTCATGATAGTAGTATTCAATACTCAGACAAACAAGTCACTGCAATAGTATTATCTTTTTCCCTTCTTGACAATTACCCAGGACTACTTATCATGAACGGATCAGTCCATTCATGATAGTAAGGAGGGTAACTGGTTCTTACTACAACAGTTTGAATAAATAAAACATATTGCTATTTTGAAATGTAAGTAACAGGTTAAATCTCAAGTTAAGCAAGGCATTATTAAGCTAAATCATTTTAGCATTCTTTCTGTGAGTGATGTTATGAAATCAATTTATATATTTTGGATTAGACAAGGAGACTTTACTTTACCTAATAAAACAATATGTTCATATCAAATTAACAGTATTCAAATTATAGATTCTATACAGTTAGCAAATATGATAAACTGTAAGTTCTATTCTAATAGTTTCTTCACTCACACTGCTCTCCTGAGGAACTCTCTTCTGGCTTCTTACTTTCCTGTTAACTACAATTTTCAAAAATCTTAATGCAACATCAATTTTATCTCTTGTTTCCTTGAATCTTGTTCATTTACTGTCATCTTTCCTCAATCTTTTTTTCAGTTTTACTCACTCTCAGTAACATCTTGTATTTTAGTGGCTTTATCACCTTGCTTGGGGTGAAACTATGAAAAAAATAATATCATAGTATTGTTGACAATAATATAGTAATATATGAAATGACATAATAAATGAAGCAAGTTCAGAAATAAATTTAAGAATATTAGGGTGATGCAGAATGTTCCATCATTATTTAAAAAAATATCTTTCATTCATATAAATTTATAGAATCAGGAGGCACTGTCATGAAGCAAAATCACTAGTCAAATTCTTTGTTTACATGAAATGGTTTCTCTATTGAATGCTGTTCTAAATCAAGCTTAAATGTTTGACATTATGTATTGCCATAATGATCTTGTTAAAAAAAAAAACACTTTTTCCATGTGGAAGAAAAAGGAAAGGAAATGTGTTTAAATGCTAAACTTTGTTAATTTATATAATTAATTTTCTAAGATCAATCATGTAAACAATGTACTACATTTGACTAATTGCAAAAGCAATAGAGTGCCAAGTAAACTTGACAAAATACTTCTCAAATTTCTCTAAACATTCAGAAAAGGATGGAGCTATGAATCTTTTTGGCAACTTAATAATTGATCCTTATATATTTTCTGATCATTAATCACTATTTGCTTAAGCAAAAATAAAAAAAATAAAAATGTTTCTATATTTTGCTGTCTTTTTTTTAGATCTCAATAAGTAAAATTTATAAAATACTAATTACAAAAATCAAATGTAAACCGGACCAATTTGCTTTTGAAAAAATGAAAAAAATATATAGGACATTCTGAAGTTTAATTGTAGTCAGAAAATAAATCTTGAAAACTATTAGAGAAATTCATTCTTAGAGAATGTTTCAAAATTTTCCAACAAAGATTTTTTTTTCATCGATGTTATCTGAACACTAAAACTCATATTTGAAATTAAACATGATGTCATGCAACCCACATTTCAAAATGTACCAGGACTGATGGAGCACAGAATAAATGATGATTTCAAGACAGTCTTTCTCTCATCTGATAACATGCAGCTGTGTTTAACTAAATGCACATACAAGCCAGATAAAGCTCTGTTGATCACAAATATTTTGCTTGTTTTCTGGTGATGCCTTAATCTTGGAAATGTAAAAATGACTAAAAGAGTTTAGAGTCCCCTATATGGCAATGAAAATAGTCATATTAACCATTTCCTATAAGGAAACATTTGGGATTTATTGATTGAACAGCCAATACTGCTTTCAGTTGAAACTTATAAAAGCTTTCTCTTAAAACAATTTTTCAGGAAAATAGGTTTCTTAAGTTCAGTAGCTGTTATCAATCTTTTCAATACTGATGAAAGGAGTCCTTTCTAACATTTATTTGAAATAGTGTGGAATGTCAACATTTTCATTATGCAATTATTTTCTCTTTGAGTTACATGTGCTATCCAATTGGGTTGTTGGTGCTGTTGCTATTTTTCAAGTGATTTGGTTTCTGTTATTTGGTACAGTTCCTTCTTTATGATTCTGTAGTGCCAGTCCACAACGTTCCAAGAAAAATAGTCCATTGCCTTGACTCTTGGGCCATTTTTAACCATTTATCTTAGAAAGCAGTTGTATACAGATGGCAGTTTGGTACCATACATGACTTTCATATAAAATTCTTGATCTGATGAAGCTATTTAAGAGCATGATGAGTTTTTAAGTTGATGTTTTGGTTTTGTCGCAGTTTCTGATGTTGAGCAAAATTACTTCTGGTGCAGCCTATTCTACATTCAATTACCTTTTCTCCTATAATAAATTTATTATACCTGATCCCTGCAAAAGCGTATTTAAAGTGTTTAATATCTATTAATTCTACATCCTGAATTTTTATGATGGATTCGGGGTCAGTGTCATTGCTACTTTCATTCCAATTCCAGATAATAGTTTCTGTTTTGAAAAGGTTTGTCTTGAGTCCTATTTCTTGCAACACTTGGTAGAGTATGTTGATTTTCTGTTTAAGATCATTCTTATCACACTTAAGAATATCTATGTCATCAGCATAGCTCCCTCCATCATCAGTACATTAGCCCAAGGAAGGAAAGCTGGATGATGGTCAATCAAAACTGCCTCTCATATTTGGTACTCTACCCTTCTTTCTAAGGGCCTGTCTCTTCTGGACGTGGACATTCATCACTCACTACAGACACATTTTCATATTAGCTCAAGACTACCATGACTTTTGGGGCAAGATAGTGTAATTGTTTCCTGTTGCATTCTCCACATTTTTGAATCCAAAGTTTTCTTCCATGACTGGCTGTTAGCCAATGCTAGTGAGCCCCGTCTACTCTACTATTTATTTGAAAGCTAGCAGAAGAGGAGTTGAATTCATGGCTTCTCCAAAGCCATTAATGCAAAAGTGAATGCAATAGACCAAGCTGGAATATGAACTCATCACATCATCTCCACTTTTCATGTTGATAACCATTATACTATTACATTGATACTATAAAATATATATTATACTATTACATTGAAAACCATTATACTATATGCATATCGTCTACAATCATTTTAGAATCTTAAAAAAATTAATTTAAAAAGTGTTTGTGGCCAAAGACTGTTCACCTACAGTAAGAATTCTAATGTTGTTTGGGAGATTAAATATTTACAAATACAAATAATTTTACTTGTTTTATATGATAAGTTTTTGTTAGTTTTATCATAATTATTTGTAGTTTATCATTTCTTTGGGTATTAAATCAATTAGAAACAGACAGAACAAACAAAATTTGAATATATTTTATAATAAGTTTTTTTATATATGAATGAGTTCTTGACACGTTCAATGAACACTGATCTTTAGATTGCTTTTAAACTGAACTTAAGTTCTGTAAGGACAGGATAAAAATATCTCAAAAATTAATATCAAATGAGAAGGTTAACAATAAATAACATTCCCATCAAGTGGAAATATTGAAATGCATGATTAACAAATAAGACAGCTGAACCTGTTTATTGATTCTCTCATATCAGAGCACCACTGACGACAAAAAATGTGTTCAGTGACTAAAAATGAATACCAACAAATAAGTTTTTGATATAATGGAATATGCATGCACCTGTGTTCCCCCTCACTGGAATATGATTGGCTGGTGTCCGTCATAAATACCAACGGACGTGTAGGTGAGTCAAAGAGACTTAGTCTGAGAGCTAAGTTTATAGCGATGCCCATCGGATTACGTCATTGATCTACACTTCTTACCTGCGACTACGACGCGTACCAGTTGATTACTGCTACTGTATTCTACTTGGTTATAGTAGCCAAAACCACTTAGCTACTTAGTTCAAATATATCCCTTTCTGGGACATATCATTTTTATATAAATATAAAACACTTAATTAAATAAAGCAGTTTAACTATCTTTTTACTTAATCATGTTGTATTTCAGTATTACCACTTTTTGTTTTGCACTTCTTTTGTTATTAATTGTTTTAACATATCCACTTTTAATGTATTAATTTTGTACCCTTGCAAATATATCTGTTATATGACTTTAATCAGGGTCTCTTTCTGATTCACAAATACATTTCACTAGACATGTCAGTCGGATGTAAAAGCCAAGAAAGCAAAACCCAAAATAAAAATGTCATCTTTTGCACAGGGGCTCCAAGCATCTCATCTGATCCAGAAAAGTAATCCTCACAAAAA